CCCTGAAATCTCTGGGAAAGTCAAAGTAAGAATTCACAATAAATAATGTAGTGGTAGCATATAGTTTTCTTTTGATTCAGATTTTGCTTCATACATAAATATGTTCAATATCATAAATTCTCAATATCAATATATTTCAATAAATATGAAATGAAGATTATTATAAATTAAGTCATATATTTTATTGTGGTTGCATAAAAACACTGACCCAAAGGTGCTTTAAGATTTCATTGAAATCACTTATGAAATACTGGGTACATGCACATGTACTGAGTACGAGCACATTTGTGATATAGCACATGGTTATCCAATTTACTTGAGCAAAGGAATATTTCCAACTGTGGAATGGATTTTTCAGGTCACTCCATGAATTGGTTGTATCCAACAACAGGCTAACAGAGTTGCAGTCTCTGGTAGAACAGTTTCCAGGTCTGGAACACCTCAATGTCTGTGATAACCATATAGAGCAATGGGAACAAGTGGTAGGTGCATGTGTACAGTGGGAGAAGGATTTATTTTTGGTTGGATTTAGGGGTTGAAAAGAGAGAGAGAGAGAGAGAGAGAGATGGAGATTAATTTCCTGACTGTACATCTTTTTCACTGAATTTGAAATATGAAATGCTGTGTTTTATTTCAGATATGCTCTAAGTGTAATGAAAGCTCATTTACATGTACATCTAATTATATATTCAGAGGTAAGTTAACTGTAGATTTCTTTCAAGGTCTCTCTGCAGAAACTTCAGAATTTAATGGAGGTGTTTTTGCAACGGAATCCATTCTGCTCCCCTCGTGGCCCCAAGCCCCACTACAGTGCAGAGTTACAGAGGCTCATGCCTGCCCTGGAGATTATTGATGGGGTAGGTTAATTGGGATCTTTTCCAAATATTAGCCTCCATTTCCTTTTTTTCTAGCTACTTTTTGATACTAATATAGCAGTATGTTAAAGTTGATATGTTAGTTTTTTTCTTTTCTTTTTCTTTTTTTCAGTATAAGCCAGCATACATATAATACATTGATCTAATGTACCAGGAAATTATGTGGAAATAAGACCTGTAAACAGTGAGGATCAGTGCTTTATGATGCACAAAATGTGTATTTCTTGCACAGCAAATGTTTGCAACTCAATGAATATAATTAAATATCCTTATTTTGTGTAGTGGATAAGATGTGGGTACCGAACGTAAAACTTCCTTTATCTGTATTTTCAGGCACACGTGAAGCGTTCTACATCCACGACTGCTCCTGTCATGAGACCCATGTCAGCAGCCAGTGGTAATACATGTAACAATTGACTTCCAATCTCTCCCACTCTCTCTCTCTCAGTGAATTTCTCTCTACTCTAAGTCTGAATACTTTTTCTTCATAGGAAAGTTTTAACATTTGAGTATTTAAGTATGCCTTTTCAACATTTCAGTTGAATTTCTCTCTCTACTCCAAGTGTGAAAATTTCTTATTTTTAAGGGGAGGGGGGGTTTAAGTTTAAATGTATTTTAGCTACATTTTTCAACAATATCTTCATTTCCAAAGAAGAGTACTTTATCCTTTTTGGATTTAAGAGTATTATCTTTATAACAACAGTATTATTTGTAATCCATCAGTCTAATGATTATCATATCTTGTAAACTGTTAAAACAATTATACATTTGAGTCTTTTTTTAGTAATCAGCACAAGACAAGTTGATGCCCAAATGTCCTCCTTGTTAAATGAAATGTCCACTTTCGAAAACAATGTCATGCAGTCGTAAGTCTCTTTATTTCTGATAATACAGTTTATTCTGTAGTTTTTCTCAGTTAAAGTAAAATTAAGTCACACTGTGTCACACTTAATACCTTGCTGTAATACTCCTTTAAAGTTGACAAATAAATACATAAGCTAATAAATTAGACAATACATGATTTTATATTCTCAATTTCCATTTAGGTTTAAATCGCTGCGGGCCACATTTGATACCCTTCCTGTGGAGCCTCCAAAAACCAGCCGTCTTGCCACAGCGCGGAGTTTGCCGTCCACTGCAGGAAGTGACCGTCCAGCTAGCAGATCAAGCAGGTAAGAGGCATATATGTCCACAGTTTCATGAAATCATGAAATTGTACTTAAATTTTCCTGTCAAACGCAAATAATGGTATGTTCAGGCATTAACACAGACACAATTTATGGGTTTTTTTGTTTATTTTTATGACCTTGGACAATGTGTCATCTTTTATGTAGTACAGTTTTGAAGTCCTCAGCACTTTCTACCAAGTGAATAAAAAGTGATGTCAGTATAGCACTACAGAAGTCAATATAATACAAAATCTGTTGACTTTACTCTGAGAAAACTTGCAGATCTTCAGATACACACAAACAGAGTAGATCTGACAATGCAATGTTGTCTTTCAGGCGTTCCAGAATTACAGAAGCTAGGAACTTTGCAGCCCAACATTTCTAACTTCTTTACGAAAAGATTGCTTTTTTTCTAGTTACTGTTGCAATTGCCTTTTTTTTTTCATAACATTCAGATAATTTCTGGAAAACTTGCAATATGTTAAAACAGCAAATAGTGTTGTAGACATGTTGAAAAAAAAATATTGTTCTTTAATTGGCCAGTGTGCATTCTGCAGAAGTATACTTTAAAGACATCTTTTAAGAAAAGTGTTTATTTATCATTTTTTTTGAATGTGGAGATTCCTCTCTTAATAATTCCGAGCTAGCATCTTTTTTTTTCTGAATTTGCGTACCATTAGCTGTAAGGCAATACATTAATGTAAATGGTCTCATTTCAAGGAAAGAACATAAGTATTTTTATAGCTGACAGTTTAAAGTGAGTCCTTTTCTCGTGTAGTGTATATATATGCAGTTATGTGTAATAATACAGTTTATATTTGAAATAAATGTTCACTTTCTAAACAGTTTTTATGCAGATCTTTTAAATACATCCAACACTGAAAAAAGGTGACATTGAAGACCAGTGTTTCTCCATTCCTTTCCATTCAAATGATCTGACTACTCAATGAATAAAAACAAGCAATTCATTAATTTTTTATTACTGAAATGCATTTTCCTATAAAATGTATATTAAACAAGTAAATTGCACCAGAGGAAGAAGAGAAAAGAGAAATGCCCTACCCAAGATACACTACAGCACAGAATTGCCTTCCTTTATGTACTGAACAATACATTTCAATATTATTAATACTAAGAATGATTAACACACAAAAAATTAACTTTCCATACTGTCCTGTCCTTTTAATAACAAAAAGGGCACTTTTAATACTAGTATATATCATAAACTGCTATTTAATAATGGCATAAGTACATGTATTACTATCTCATATAACTTTTTCTTCATAAAAATTCTTTTCTTGGGATATTCTTACCAATTTTTCTATACAACAACATCAACATAATTGATAGTGTTGGTGGCCATCTTTTGATTTGTTTTTTTTTTTAATTTTTACAATGAGCAGGAGTTATATAATTATGCAAACATGTTTGCCTGTGTGTATGGACGATTTACTTATATAATTAACTTCAATTTTAAAAATATAAAAAAAAACTATTTTGGCACCTGAAGAATGCACCCTAACAATGTGCTTTTCAGTAAAATGTTATTCCAAATCACTCGAACTTTCAGTTTTTGAACCCACTTTAAATATGAGTATGAACTAAATTACACTTTTTTCTTCCAAATGTTCTTTAAAAGAAAACATTTGCATGGGAACTGCAACGAAAACATCCATTTAAAATGTTTATCTTAACAACATCATCTATATTATATAATTCTTCAATACTGCACCTGGCATCATTTCTTTGCCTATGTAATCAATGAAGTAACAGCTTATCAAATATTTTGCACGTATCACAAACAAAGCACCCTTCCTGACTGCAAATCAAATTATAAACCCCCCAGAAAAGTGCGAAATTCAATAAACACACAAAATGCAAAAAAAAAAAATGTGGATATCACAGTAAAGCCCATCAAAATAACTCTGATCAAACTGTTTAATGCATGTGCTCCAAATAAAAAATATTAACTATATTTAATGATTACGTTATGGATGAAAAAGTATCACATATATCCACCCACTGACGATAATGAAATTCATAACCCTGTGTAATATATAGCTGAAGGACTATGCAAAGCTACTTCACAAACTTCTTAATAACTTCTAACTAATGTCTCTTATAGCCTACAGGTACATGTATATCAAAATGACTCTGGGAAACTTTGTAAAACAGCTATGGCAACAACTTGTAAAATAATCTTAAGGGTCCCTGTTAAAACCAGCTCTTTGTAAAGTATCACCTATGAACTACTTGTATCTTTTTTGTGTAGAAAAATAACAAAAAATGGTCAATTTCTTAAACTTTCATTCTGTTTCATTTCAGATAAAAAAATAATTTAGATAAAAATATTTTCATATGACCACAGCTAAACCACAAACCACACAAACTCATATGTTTGAGCATTTTTGTCTAAAGATTTTCACTCCAGGGCAAGCTTTACAGAAAAAAAACAACAACTTTAGACTTAAAAATCAAGAAATTAAGTTTACTTTGACTCAAGACATGTCATAGTTCTGTAGTAGTCCACTTTATCAAATATTTTTTCTCTTTTGTAAAAAGAAGTGCATAATGTTTAAGTAAACTGAATGACATGTCTTCTGGGGCAGCTACAGAGGATTAACTTCCATGTACCTTCGGTCATGCTCAAAATGAAATGAAAAAGCTTCCAGATTCCAAGCGCGAGCGAAAGTTATTCAATCCCCCAGCTTCTTGGGGAGGTGTGTCCCCACAAGTAGGACAGATAAGTTTCACTGGGAACTTGCCCTAGGACAATAATTACTACCACAGTAGTACTTTACATTTGAAGACTGCCCAGTTCTATTAATTTATCCTGAAATAAAGTAAACCATAGTTCAGATCAACTTTTTAGTTTTGACTTCTATTGAGAAACTTGCCCCTGGTTTAAAATGCTGGCTAAGCATTAGAGGGAGTCCACAATAGCTGGAAACAACACAAGCTTAATTGTGGGGAGACAGCACACCTCTTGTATAGTCACTCCATCTCTGAGCTGTTGTAGCAAATATAGGATCACTTTCTACGGAAGACAACACCAGAAGTTGTACAATATGTGTCGTGTGGTAATCCCAGCGAGCTCTGTTGGGTGGTAACTTCATGGTAACATGGCGCAAATCATAAGTTGTTCCAGATCCTGTGTCAAAGAGCGGCAATAAGGCCTTTAGGGACGTCAACCCTTGAGAATAAAGACGCTGTACATCTTTGTTGTCCGATAATACAGTTCTCAAATCGTAAAGTCCCATCAGTGAAAATATAAATCCATTGAGAACAAAAAGACTTGGTGTGGTGGGATATTCCTCATACCAGGCATATTTATCCATAAAAAGCGCCAGGACACCATTATTTGCACTTTTCACATCAAACGGTTTCAGACCTCTGACTGCAGCCTCCAAGTATTTTTTCTCCTTGGAATGGAGATAAGCACGTGTCAACACGGACATGGCGTGTCCTTGAGCCATGGCAGAGTACCACCCTGGAGACAAAGCTTGGGCTTCCTTAGCAACCCAGTGAGTTACCATATTTGGCCAGCCGCCATTTTGATCCTGTGCTCTCAACAGCCAATCAGCTGCATGATAAAACTGTGTCAAATGTGCTGAGCTGGAAGTGGTTATATTATCAATCCACCCATGTCCTCGAAGGTGAATACCTACAATTTTGGATACCCTTTTGTTTATTTTCTTTTTTCCCAGCCCCTTCTCAATGTCGATGAAGATATCACGCGTGATGGTTCGCCATGTTCTGCACTTGTCTGAACCTATCCCATAATACACCTGCTCCCCAGAGACTGAGATCATTACATTACTGCAGACATAGGTCACAAAAAGCTTTCTCTTGACACGCTTTTGATTGGTCTCAACAACAACAGTCAGGCTTCCACTTTGTTTAAATCTTAAATCAAAGGACAAAATGAAGTTTTCTTTTTCACTTACTGAGAATACAATTCCTGGTTTGGCAAAAGATTCTGAAAAACAACAAAAATGCTCAAATTATGTTCAAATTATGGATGACACACCTACAAGTAGTACATATGCAATACACTCAAAAATACTGCTTATTCACAGATACTGGCGTGTGTGTGTGTGTGTGTGTGTGTGTGTATCTTACAGACTGAAGTATATATAATCCATGTCATAGCAAATTCATACATGACCAAGTTAAACTCTGTAGACTGTGGATAAAAGTTATAAAAGAACTGTAAACTTTCTTCTCCAGGCACAGTGTTGATCACACTTACTCACCCCACAGTCGCAGAACAAACCTCACAGCGCTTTGATAACTTTCATCCAGTGTTTACTAAATCTAACCATTTTATTTACTTCCATCTTATTTACATCTTCCAAGGTCTACATCACAGCATCCGACTCCATCTTACCTTCTGCAAAAAACTCAATCACATATCCACCGCGCAGGGGGTCGAGGACTCTGGTCAGCGTGTCCCCCCTGTTGACTGCCCATCGCTTCTTCTTAATGACCCCCTGGCTGAGAAGTACGGTCTTCCTTGGCGCTACCTGCTCCACCAGAAGCTTTGAGTAGTGGCTGAGGCCATATTGAGCAATCTGCAGTGGGTAGTAATAGCCACTGGCATTCCACTGGTTACAGACAGGAACATCTGGATTAAGATAATCGTCAACTGGATAATCCCCATAAATCTAACTTATAATATCAAGTTAAATTGTTTTATAAGTGTAGCAATATCTCAATTAAATTTATGTCCAGGTTTTGGCAACATGGGAGAGATGATCCTTTTTTTCAGTATTCTTTTTGACCAAAATATTCAGTTTTCCAAATTTCAATATAAAATGACCAAATCTGCCAACATAAACCTGTTCCCTGAGGCAAAGGCTTGTTTCATATCAACATAAAAGTCATAGTGGAAATATGAAATTGTATGGGGTTTTATCAAGTTATTATGTCCTGTTTCAAAATTTTAATTCACATTTAACAATAACTTCACAACCAGGTAATTTGATTTCATATATCGACTTAGGCTACTTATATACAGATAGACTTATAATGTCAATTGTATTTCGTTATATGTGGTGGATATTTACAATGTATATGGAACAGAAGCTCCGTAAATGCATTTGAAACATACATATATTTACTGCATACTTAACTCATCATTTTACAACTTACGTTCTATGCCACTAATACACTTGACTGTGTCTCGGTTCTCTACAAAATAATGGTCAAAATGCATGTACACCCCTCCTGTAGTATAGTTCTCCCTGGGTTTGGAGATCTTGGAGTAACTGTGAAGCCATTGCAGCCTCCCACCCTCCTCTTCCTTCTCCAACTTGCCTGTGATCTGAGAAAGACCAGGGAATACAGGGAATAGCACATTATCTTTGTTTTTCACATTTTTATTTTTATTTCTTTAAAATGAACTTCAATTATGACATTTCTTTTTTGTTACCTGGCTATAAACTTTAGGGGAAGCAATACAGTAAAGCTTAAATTATCTTTAGCATTTGGTGAATCCTGAAAATGATAGCATGCCAGGTACCATTAATTGCATGTTGGATTGCGTGGCCTTCAAAGTACTAGTAGAGTCATAAAAGGACTTTAGACTAAATATTGCTCTAAATTTTAAGATCAAAAATTTGACTCCATAAGTCAGTTGTCCAATTAAATACAGTGCCTGCATTATAAAAAGAAAGACTTGGGTCATGTTTACGCCATAAGTTATTTAATTTTAATATATACTGACTCACTTGTTAAAATAATTAAATGAAGTCTACAAAAATTTACAGTCCCAAAAATTTAGAACAACTTAGAGTCCAATTTTTAAATAATTTTTGTGAAATCATCCCAGGACATACTTACATCAAAGTAGTTCTGAATGAAGCTAAATGGTACATAGACCTCCTCCTTCTCTCTACGACAGGGAATATCATATTCTGCATTAATATGACATTTTATTACTTTGTAGGCGTTTTCTTTGAAAGCAGTATTTCTGTTATGAGATTCAAGGTAATTAGCTGACTTAGTTTGGAGACTGTTGGTGATCCTCCCAGACACACTGCTTAGCACCAAATCTTCTGGCAGGAGTTTTCTTCAATTAAGAAATAATGTTCAGATTAACAAGAATTGCGTGATCTTTTGAAACAGTATTATTTGAACAAGTGTTGGAATGGTTTCTATTACTGGCTCAAAGGTTAAACTATTAATAAATTTTTTGTCCCCATGTAACAAATTTTAGATTGAAAATTATCAAATTTGTTTATTGATTATATTTGAAACTCTGACAATTACTCAAAATCATTTTCTTTCACCATTAATGTTATGAATCACTTATATTTTTGGTAAAAACTCTTCAAAAATTCAAAACAATAATAATAACTTGAAAAATTGACATTTTATATATTTTAGTATAAATTATCCTCAACATATGGTAAATTTTCATACCAACACAAGACTACTGTACTTACATATCTGCAGTAACTTATATTGCTTACCTATCTGAGTTCTCAACATGGCGAACACTGGTTTCCAGCACCTGATTGTTGCACCTCCAGCATTCATTGATGGAATAAATAAGCGCCGCAATTGAAAATATTGGCAGCACGTACTTGCATGTTGGATTGCGTGGCCTGCACAGGGAGGACAGGCGCCGCATGGTCATGTCTGAAATTTCTCAGACCTGTTGGTTTTCAGGTCTGGATGCAACAGCATACTGTGTAATACAAGCCTGAAATTAATACAAATATTAATTAATTAATCAAATGCACATAAATTTAAATATATAATATAGATTTAAATCTAAGCAGTATTATTCAGATTTGCACACATTATGTAGTAATCTCTGTGTGATAGAAACGATATACACTTTGATCACTGTGTCTGCTTTTTAAATATATTAGATTAACAATGACGTTTTTCAATAAACTTTCAAGCTCTTTGACCAATGAAATTCGGGCACTTAATTTTTTCTGAAACGGTATGGACTTGTAGATACTTGTAAATTATTCGGAAAATTTGTCAGTCAATTATCAAACTAATTATTTGAATAGCAGAGACATTGATCAAAGTCATCACATCACTGAATACAGCCAAGCAAGAAAAATTAGTGACCTAGTGGGGAAATACCACAAAAGTAAAAACAAGAGTTTCTGTGCAAAGGGGTAAGTGGGGTGTTTGGATCACACATTTTAGTTTTGCAAAAATGAAGAAACAAACAGTTCCAATAACACAACTTACCTTCTTGGACCTTTACTCTCCCTGAAGTATCCTGAATACACTTTCAATCCGATTCAGCCTTGAGCCCATCCTCTCGTGATTGCAGTCATTGAGGGGGAATTCCGCATGCCAAAGCATGCCGTGTTTACGAGGCGGATAAGAGAGAGAGGGAAATAAGCGAGATCGATATTACTTGCGGTAGCTCCTCTTGGCATTTTTTCACCGGGGCATGGCAGGCAAGGTGCTCGTTATCATTACTTTCCCTACTTTTGAGAATCTGACAACATAAAATAAGTTTTTCTTTCTTAGGACACAAATGAAAAGCAGATAGAAAGTGTCCTCGAGGTTAAAAAAATTAAGGAAGACTTTGGAAAATGAGTAGCGCGTGATTTATTCATAATTGGCCTCATCAATTTTTTTTAATTTGTTTTAAAATATGTAGAAAATACACCGAGCTTTTCGTCACCTTTCACTTTACCAATCCACTAATTGCACATAAAATATATATTTTCAAAATTATTTTTTTAGATGCAAAGGAAAAATGGCATAAAAGAAAATCGCCGATTTCGGTGCATGTATTTTTTCATCACCGAAGCATTAGCCTACATAGCATTGTTAGTAGTTTGTTGATTATACTTATATTATCATCTTGAAGAAAAAATCTAATATGATTTTTATCAAGTTGCCATAAATTAATTCGGAATATTATTGTTCAAATGGAACATCGCCGACATCATTTTCGTATTATGCGAATACACTCCTGCCCGGCGTTCATACTTTCATTTTGCATATTATTTGAGAGGTCCCTGATACCAAGGAGTTAGGCCCTACAACTGTTGAAACTCCTTGGTGATACCAGAGGGTATTCATCAACAAGGTTTGATCATTGACTAAAATCTGGTGCAAGTTGTTTTATATACATGTAAGACTGAGAAATTCAAAACGATATGATTCATACATCATTGACGTCTCGCGTCTTTGTTCGCGTTAAAAACTTCACTTTTGATTCCATGAATGGCGAACGTGGGCTTGATGCTGGAAATTTAATTTTAGTCAGCAGTAATTCTCTTAACTGAGTGAGCAAAATGTATCGTACCATGGCAGTAGACCTTATCGATCATATGAAGGTATCACCACCGGATTTATCGAACCAAGGAGTTGTCAGTTGTAACTCCTTGATTGAACATTCGTGAACAGTTTCAGTAACAACCTCTCACCTTAATTGAGCTATACCTGTTGTTATTTGCATAACAACAAGTTGCTCTTCGTAGTGTGAGCTGACTTCCCGAATGCTCACTTGGCAGTTAGACAGAGTCGGTTGTAGACGCAACAGCATGTGTGGTGCAGTCAGAAGGTCGAGCTTTTATAAGGCGTGGAAGCAAATGTATGTTTGTGAGTATCACTTTTTCTTCATCAACCAGAGCAATTATATACTTAAGACAGAAGAGTGAGAAAAATATTTAAGACAAATATTTATGACATGGATCCTTTTACTATATTTCCATTGTTACTTGTATGTCACTCAGAATGGTAGAAATTATTGCTTACAGTGCATTGGGACTCCAAATGTTCAGGATAAACGGAGCATTCATCTGACTTTTCATGATAACCTAAGTTTGAAATCTTCTGCACTTTATATATGTTTGAACATTTTTTGTGCCCCGGCCTTGACAATTAATTTTGAATGTTTTGACCTAATTTAAAATGTTGTGTTTTTAAATGTAAGTATTACTACCCACATTAATTAATTAATTGGATGATGCTTGTCACAGTTCTGAGCTTCTGATCCAAGGATTCCGAGTGCTCATTACATTTGCTTAACAAATACATATTTTACACAGCCTGTCGTCTACATTGTGTCGTGTGTTGTCCATCCATTACACGGTTCACTGTATGAAAATTTATGATATAAGTGCAATACATTTGTTATAATTTTCGAAGAGAATTTGTAAATGATCTCTTTCTCTGAACTACAACATGAACTACAACACGTGTTATAACTTTTAATATCAAGAGGAATATATTAACGGTCGTAGCCAGGGGCGGATCCAGAGATATTTTCTGATAGTCTTCCACAATATCTTTGTTGGTCCATCCTCCATTTTTTGACCGTCTTCCGACAGAAAAAAAATTAGGTACTCATCAATGTAAACGTAGAAATTTGACCGTCTTCCGGAAGACCCAGAAGACAGTCTCAATCCGCCCCTGGTAGCAATAACCTCACCAACCATGCAAATGAAACGGTTTGTGCTATCAATGTTACTTTTTTAACAAGAGGCCTCAAATAGTTGTCATTATCTAATTCCAGATCATAATTTTGGTTTTTCGCAAGCTGAACCTGAACATCAGACAAGCTAGTAAACGTGTACGCCATTCCATTTATAAGTGCCCTCTGTCCTGTGATGTTACATGCATTTTTAGAATGTAAAGAGCCTGTCTGGTTATTTCAAAGTTGTAAACATTATTTTATCTTTTCAGGAGTTCAACGAGATTCTACCAAGCATCCGCCTGAAAGCAATAAATGAAGTCTAGCCTTTGTTTCACACACAGGAACCCACGGTCCTTCATACATCTATTATGTGAAAACTCAATAAAATATTTGTAATTTGGCGTTTTGTTTTTCACTTTGTTATATAATTATTATGTTAAGGATAATAGTAATCATAATGGAAAATGAGTTATTTTTAGTGTTTGAGGACTTTCAAATTCAATCTGATCTGTAAATAATGTCAATGTTTTTGTGGTTGACGGTTTTCTGTGATACCTAATTTTTAAATAGTTGTAAAATCACCAGTATTTTCTAAATAACCCCTCAAAGCTGTTTTAGCGCACTGAAATAAAATGTCTAAAAATGGTTTCCAACGACCTATATTTTATAGTTCAAATTTATATAAATTTACAATCCTGAATTTTAAAAAATTCACAAAAGATTTTTGTTCTATATGGAACTTATTTGTTTGGATATAATTTTTCCTATAATTTCTTATATAGGGGTGACAGTGCCCATTTTGACGGGTTTTGGCTTTTGCTATCGTAAATTGTTTCAATTTGGTGGCCTATTCTTAGTATAAATACTTAATTTGATATTTGAACGTAAGCTTGGTGTAAGCATAAATCAAGTTTAATTCACCTCACCTGCCGCCCCTTCTAATTCAATGGACTCGCCCCACCTGTCACCCCCTCTGATGTAATGGACTCGCCCAACCTGTCACCCCTCTGATGCAATGAACTAGCCCCACCTATCACCCCTCTGATGCAATGGACTCGCCCCACCTGTCACCCCTCT